TTTTTTTTAACTGGTGGCAGAGGGCAGAGGAGAGTAGGTTCTGTAGGTCTGCCTCAGATTTCTGATATCAGTTAAGGGACTTCATTGCAAGGAGATGCCCACTCCAGGAAAAAAAAAAAAAACTCCAGCTTAAGATCCTCATAAGAATTGAGTCAGGCCCTGGGGTTGGTCAGCTGGACTAGGTCAGGTGTGGCCAGGCTGCCAGTCTACCTGTGGAGCTGCCACTTCACACACTATATGGAAGTCATCAGGGAACATACAAGAGTTGTGGGGAACAAGCCTACCATTGCAAATACACAGCAGGCTAGAATGGAAAGTTGAGGAACAAACCAAAGGTGTTGGAGAGGGTGAGGGGAGAGGAAAGAAAGTAAAGGTAGTTCCTTGCCTCTCATATGCCTCTTTCCTCTTAATGCCTTTCCAGTTTTTGCCAACTCACATCTTTTTCTCTTATACTAATAACCTGACAGTCATGTATACATACTTCTTTTGATCTTCTAGGTATTTTAAGCTATAAAGAAAGGATTAAAAGAGAAACAAAGAGTAGGATAAGCAAAGATCATAGATCTTTAAGAAATTATCTCTTTAAAAAATCAAAGAATAAATTTCTAAGTGCAACAATTACAGAAATTACAATGTAATGGCAACAAGAGTAGGTCTCAAGAAGCGAGCAAGGTAAGCAGGGTGCTCATGTTTTTCTCCCTGGTTTGGTAACCCAATAGTCTCTGGCTACTTGAGAAGGTGTGAGGATCACTTTTTATCTCAGCTTGGACACAGAAACTCACATTTCAGCTATGATCGAGGTGGTTATCCTGATGATACCTTTCTCCCTGACCTCGACAAGTCACAGATCACTTCTAGGAGACAATTTCAGGAGGCCTTTAAACACTGGCATGGATACCCAGAGAAGAGATGTTATCTTCACTGGGGGCCTTTCAGAACAACTGATCATCGTGGATAACAGGGTTTCACCCATCAAAAGAGATGGAGAGCTGAGCACTCAGCAAAGCATTGTCGGAGTAGAGAGGAGAGAAGGCATAGGCCCTGAGCCTGGACACACTGAAGTGTGAGCTGGACCACTGCTGAGAAGCACGTGTTCATTTGTCATGAACACTTGCTGTTCACAGTGCTGGCATAGGTTGTGTGTGACAAGGTTTTTGAGAGCCCATTTCTGTCCTAAGAGGACACTGTCTCAGAATTAACTCTTGGTGATTTTCTATTTGGTTGGACATTAGTATCTCTTCAAGGGACTTTTAAAAACTAGAGACACCTGGGCTCCCAGTTCAATGATCTTTGTTTTTTTAATCTAATTTTGATTTTAAAATAAGCTCTTAGGCAATCCAAGTGCAATACTATTCCACATTAGGAGAACTGAGAGCCACTGGTCCCACATGCCTACTGTTATACATACAATAGATGATGTTTAGAGAATTTAAATGACTTGCCACTTGCTCAACTTCATATGCCTAGTTAATGGATTAAAGCCATGACCTCCATGAATTTTACTGCATAGATTTAACCCATGTAATACTACCAATGATATGCTAGAGTTGATGACTTGTCACCTAGTTGCCACCCAAAGCTGGTTGATAGCTAAGAATCAGGCTGACCTTGATCTAAGCTAAAAAGTGGGTGTAAGAATCATGGTTCTGGCACTCACTACACTATTCCTAAGTAAAATTCAAAGATTCTTTTTTTTTTTTTTGTCTTTTTGAGACAGGGTCTCCCTGTAGCCCCCGCTCTCCTGGATTCACCATGGAGACCAGGCTGGCCTCGAACTCACAGAGACCCACCTGCCTCTGCCTCCCGAGTGCTGGGAGTAAAGGTTTGTGCCACCACGCCCAGCAAAGATTCTTTTTTTTTTTAAAAAAAATTTATTTCATGTGTATGAGTGTTTGCCTGCATGTATATGCACCATGTGTGTGCCCAGTACTCTTAGAGGCCAAAAGAGGGTGTCAGATTCCCTGGAACTGGAGTTCCAGACAGTTGTAAGCTGCTGTGTGGGACCTGGGAACCAAATCCTGATTCTCTGCAAGAGCAGCAAATGCCTTTAACTCTGGAGCCATGTCTCCAGCCCCTAAAGATTCTTTTGATCTGGGTAAAATCCATCACTACGTATGACCTGCTCATGATAGTTCCAGGAGGGCCTTTACTCACCCAGACCCAATGTGCAGCACAAGAGGCAGGGGACTGACTCACTCCAGCTGGGAACTCTAGGCACAGGACAGTGAAACCGTGGTCAGTGCAGCTGTGGTTGGAGAATGTACAGCACACCCTCCCCTGTGTAAAGAAGGAAGGAGAGTTAACCCAACATTTTCTTGTTTGTTCTTTGAAAGAAGTTATTCCCCAAATCATCCTTCCTTCCTTCCTTCCTTCCTTCCTTCCTTCCTTCCTTCCTTCCTTCCTTCCTTCCTTCCCTTTCTCTCTCTCTCTCTCTCTCTCTCTCTCTCTCTCTCTCTCTCTCTCTCTCTCTCTCTCTTTTTTTTTCCAAAC